AACAACAGTGTTATTTTATTTCTCTGCACACTCTTTAATTATTTTGTTCTGTATTTTATATTATACAATGTCTTTTCCATTTCTTCATGGACTCCAAAAACGTATTTTTTGTCTATTCCAAAGTATTTTATTGATCATTTAATTCCTTTAAAAATCTATGTCCAATATAAGTCACAATGAACTACCTCATGCATATTATTTCCAGCCCTTTATAATCATAGAGGTGTCCTGGTGTAGTGCTGTAGAATAATCACTGAACTGCTAATAATAAAGTTAGTAGTTAAACCCACCAGTCACAACTTGGAAACCCTTGAATACATGGTTGCTATCATTTGCAACTGATTTGATGGCACTTAACAACTACGTAATATGTTTAAAACTTTTAAAGCACTGATATTAAACCAAGGACATTACAGAGAGTTTTATATGTATTATCAGTATCTTGTTTCAAAATAACTATATGTGATACAGCTTCCATCATTGCGATACAGCTTCCATTCCACTTTCATCACTGATTAATTTGCTCTGACTTACAATATGAAGCAAAAAAACACCATTGTTTAGTAATGGATGGAAGGAGCTCTGATAGCATAGTGGTTACGAATCAGGCTGCGAACCTCAAGGTCAGCAGTTCGAAACTATCAGCTGTTCCACAGAAGAAAGATGAGGCTTTCTGCTCCCATAAAGATTTATAGCCTTGGAAACCCTGTACAGGGTCGCTATGAGTTGGAACCAACTCCACGGCACATAATAACAACAACATAGAAACAAATGCAAAATTTCTATATGTTGTTATCAGTAAAATCTAGATAATTGTATAATTGTTCCTAGCAAATGTTATGTCTTAAAGTTTTTGCAATACAAAAGGGACAAAGGATGACACTATTTTTATTACACTTTGATAGGTATTGGGAAACTTTTCTAAAGAATTGGTACCATTTTCAGTGCCATCTGCCATGCATAAGGCCACTACTTTTACTGTTCTCACTAGTATTGAATTTGTTCTTTATTTTTTAAATTTAAATTAGGAAATCATCCAGTGTTTTGGTTTTAATTATATATTTTTTTAAAGTAAAATGAAAATATTTTATGCTTTCAGATTTTCTAAATATTTTTGTGAAATTACTCTTTCTGCCTTACGCTCATTTATCTACTGAGATCTTAGTGTTTTTTCTTATCCATGTGTATGAACTCTTGTTTAGGAATTTAAGTCACCATTTATCTAAAACCAGCAGCCTGACTTCTCTGATCTAGTATCTTTGAGAATTTCTTCCCTGGAAGAAATTATATCATGAAGTATAATCCCCATGCCTCCATAGGAGGGAGTTTATCTTACTCACATTGAGGCCCTTCATACATATATTGATCAACTTTGTGAAAGACCTAAGTAAAAGTATTTTCATTTGCTTTTTCCTTGGGTCTGGACAGCTTTGTTATGTGTTAATCTTCTGAATGAATAAATCAAAAGATCTTGTTAAAACAAAGAGAAACAGGGTTTTGATGTTGTTTTTAAAATTGTATATTTGAAAACACTGAACTCTTTTAAACTTAGATAATAATGATCTACGTGCAGTTATTTATAATTTTTCAGGTGTTAAAAACTGATGGGGATGCAGATGCACTCTGTTGAACTGTAGTTTACAAAAATTAGATTGGCTGCTATTTTTAACACACTTTGGGTTCTATTTCTAAATACCTTCAATACTTGCAAACATATTTAACCTGTATCACTGAGTATTTATTGATTAAGGAAAGAACATGTTTATTATACCATCTGGTATTGAGATGTTACTATGACAGCAACCTCAGTGTTAATTTAAAAGAGTTATTTGTGGGATTCTCTTTTCTATTTCAGATATTTATAGAAAAGAAAATTCAATTTTTATTTCTTTAATAATATATAAATACATGGTTTTGTGAAGATATGTTCAATTACACTGGTCTTCCTATATTTACATTAATTGGTCTGAATGTAAATATTTAATTATATTATTGGAAATATTTAGTTGGCTAATACTATGTGTATCATGGAAAAAGGAATTCTTCTGTGATAATGAGCAATTATGTTCATGATATTCTAAGAAAAGCATCCACTGCATTTTTCCCCCCAGGAGTAATGAGATGGAATCTGTTATTATCTGATTTTTTAGCTGTCAACACTAAGCAGGTTAACTTACCCAAGGTAACTTATTTATGTTCTCTTAACACCAGCCCAAGAAGGTAGTGAAATATCTAAAAGAGTGATTCGGGCAAAGAATAGATGTGGTTTATTTTTATTTTTATTTGTTTTCATTATTTTGCATGGCTTTGTGTTTCTCAACTATATTAAAACGATAAACTTAAAGTCTAACAGATAGGCTCATTCAAGTTTCCCTGAACTAAAATTATAGATTTGGTGTTACAGAAAATTGTTTGCATATATGTGTGTGTTTGTTTGTATACTAATTCCTAAGACAAAGCTTATTATAATTTTAAATAAAAAAGATTGAATGAAAGTTTCTTATTATTTTTAGAACCAATAGTATGTTTTTGAGTATTACAACACTGAACAGATATTAAACAAATACTACTAAACAATGGCCAATCCTGGTGGGATCAGTGTCTTCCTAAGCACAATTTTATATGAGTTTAAAAATTCTACATCAATTAAAAAACATTACATACTTTCTCAAATTGAAGGAAGTTTGTACTTTATTAAGGAATGATATATTTCTCTAAATTGAAAAAAGTTGTGTAGTCTTGTCAACGATAAATGGTGTTACATGCCATTGAGTAGGCCCCAAATCAAGGCACAATGGTGTCAGACAATTGTTAGCCACAGTTTTTTTTCTAGCAGATGTTTGGAAGTAGATCTCTAGGACTTTGTTATTCAACGATCAATATTCAGTTATTATTCATTGAATTGAGTCAGTTTTGTTAGAAACAAACGCGATATACAAAATTTCTATATGTTCAGTTATCAGTAAAATCTAGATAATTGTATCATTAAGAATAACAATTATAATAACAAACATTGACTCCTATAAGTGTTACTGTTTAAAATTGTGTGGGTGAGTGGGGGAGGAATTATCCCTCCACTCAAGGAACTAGCAGTCTAAAAAATTTAGAAGGGTAATTTTGTGTGTGTGTGTGTGTAAAGGGCCATGTAGTAAGTGTTTTAAGCTTTGAAGGCCAAACCTGCTCCAGCCTGCTATTAAAAAGACAATATGTGATGAGTATAGGAGTGTTCTGAATCTTGGGCCTAGTTAACTAGGTCCTATTGGAACAGATAATTTGGTCTCTTCTTTCATGCAGCGGTTACTGCACAGACCTTTCAGTAAGCAGCCAAGATCTTAACCATTGCACCACCAGGACTCTTTAACAACATGGCAGCATTCAAATTAAACCGTATTTGCAAAAACAAGTGATAGGCTGAATTTGACCCTCGTGTGCCCTTTGAAAACCTCTAGTCTAAATACTGACATAGTAGACAGTAGGTAATTAGAGCATATAAGATTTCAAGTAATAATTTCAGACATTAATAAAATAAGTAAGAGTATTGACAAATACATCAAAATTTGACGAAATATTTTGTACATGCTCTACCTACTCTTGGTTTAATTTAAAATTTTGATATACTGTAAGTTGGCTTCTTATATATGTGTAGTGAAAATAATTACTTGACATTTCATTACAACAAAACGTATTATAATAAAGACTCAGACTAAAAACAAATGTCAAATAGCCATTGTATTTACTAGCATTCCATATTAGTGATATCTAAATCCTCAGATATTTAGTAGGACTAAAAATGAAAACATAAGTACTTAAAGAAAATACATAGAACATTGCCAAATTTCTTTTTTTAAAAAGTTTATTGGAATTTTACTTGAAAATACTTGCTTGACTTTTTAGCATTTGCAAATGTATTGGTTGTTTTATTTTTTACTTACTGTTTTAAAACAGTAAGCTGTAGGCATAATGGTATATGACATTATTAATGAAGTTATTCCAGAATTCTCTTGAAATCGCTCTAAATAAATTTTACAAAATGTACTTACTAGTGAATGCATTGAAGCACCAAGTAATTTCCGTATTCTATTCTGCCATCAGTTTATATGGTTTCTATCAACAAAGTGAATTTTATTAAATGACTTTGTGTATCTCGATAGTCTATGAATATTTGAAAAATTTTAAAGTATCTTGAGTTTCAAAATATTTGCAAAAAATGCATGCATTATATGTAGTTTGCTTTTTCCAAATATAACAATAGTTCTGCAAATATGTATTTGGGAATGAGTTTTATAAATATGAAAATTCAAATTTAGATGAGTAGCCCTGAGTGACTGAAGATGTTTTAAGCATATGATTTGCAATAGGTTATGAGAAGTAATGTTACTGGCATAAGAAATCACTGAATGAGCAAGACTATATCCTCCCTCCTAATTCTATAGGCTATATACAATACATGTAATTTTAAAGCTATTTATAGTGTTTTCCAACTGCAAACCTTTAAAGGAATTTCTGAGGAAAGATATATTTAAGTAGGCTTAGATCTTTATTTGTATGTCTATATTAATGATATAATTAAATAGCTTGACAATATATGTCCTACTGAATAATAAATTTAAGTAAAATGAAAGTAACTAGTAAAACTCTATATTTAAATCCATTAAATGCCCTTTAATTTTAAAGGCATTGTGGAAAATTTTAAGCATATGAGTTTAATGACTTTTGCTTTTGAAAGCAGTGCAGACACCTGACTAAATTCACAGTGTCTTTATGCTATATTGAGGGAGTGGGATCTCTTCCTTATCTTGGGCTCTCTTGTTTGCTTTTCAGTTGCTGCGAATGTGGCTGTGGGAGGGCTTCTTCCCTGTGCGCTGTTGCCCATCCAAGCCTAATATGGTTAGTGTTCCCCTCCCACTTTCACACCTATTTAATGTGCCACCTATATGTATTACTGTCAGCATTCCTTTTCTTTTTCCATTTGTGTACATCTTAATATTTAGTACACTGGTTATGCTTTAGCAGTTTGAAAAAAAAGAATGAAATTGGTTTCCAAAGCAGAATCACAACTTCTTTCATAATGGATTATTTCAGATAAAATGTTATCATAAATCATCCCTTTGTCAAATGTTCATACTTATCTCCAAGCCTCTCGGTGAGCTTCTGATTCAAATTAGGAAGTTGTAAGATTATAATATCTGTTCCACATTTAATACATCACTGCTTTTGTTGTTCCATTAAGTAAGAACATACCATACTTGGAAGGAGAATCTACTTAAGTCAAGGAGAAAGCACTTTCTTTTGTGTCTCAGAACCATGGAATGACTGAAAGTAAATAGGATCTTCTATTGTCATAATTACTTTGGATACACATGGCATTGAAGAATAACACCATATATAAGTTTAAATGTTTTACTAATGTTAATAATTTGAATTGTTTCAGTATTAGATGCCATGTTCCTACCTTGATGTCAGCAGAGTAAAAAATATGAACATTTTGGGACATCAGAGTCCAAATACAATAGACTGATTTATTTAAAACCAGATACTAAATATAGATCTTGTTTATCACTATGAAGCTATAGGTTAGAACAAAAGATCAGAGAAATCCATTCACATACTTAGAAGGACCCATAAGTAATAGTTAGCAACCTCATAAAAGTGACATGTTCTAGATAATTTCTTGCTAAACTAAAGGGTTTAAATCTCTACATTACTCTATTTTGTTATTTGTAATCTAAATTTTCCATAAAGAAATAGTATGAAATGTATGTTAGGCAACTCTATGATTTCCTTAAAGCATTTTAAGACTTTAATTATATTATGTTGATGTAAAAAAGTGTATGTTTGAGCGAACTTCACACCTATGCACGTGTGATAACTGGTAGAATGAATATCAAAGAGACAATTAACAAACAATTTGATGCAATCCAGAGATCTTTTTTTCTCAGTCTCTTGAAGTTGCATATTTGGAAAACAGTTTTAAGCTTATTTGAAAGTGCATGTGTGTTCCAAATGTTTAACTTAGGCTTTTGTTGTTGTTGTTGTTGTTGTTTTTAATTATCATTGACATTAAGGGAAACTCTTTACCCAAAGTCTTTGTACTTCTAAAAATACAAAGTCAGTGGACTTCTAACCTCAAGGCCTGTGGTTCAAACCCACCAGCCATTCCTTAGAAATCCTATACAAAATTGCTATGAATTGGAACTGACTGAATGCCATTTAACAATAACAACATAAAAACCTAAAAAAAATGGCTGTTGAATTCACCCTTCTACTTCAATCTCAAAGTATATTTGCTGTAAAAGATGAATTATTATTGAATACAAATAGATAGAATTTTCATTTTGGCAAACAAAAAAAGATTCACAGTCATGCCTACTTTGATTTAACATCAAAGATACCTCAACGGGGGTTGAACAATTACGAGCCCTTGACATACTTTGTGCTACATGGACAATGTTTGATTTCCAAGAAGTATTTTTCTATTGTGTTGATCGATTCACTGGGTTTATGAAATAAATTAGTAAGAAAGGAAACATGGAATGGTAGAAATCTTTTGCAAAAGAAAATTCCAAGAAACCTATGAAAACAAAACCTTGCAAAAATGTTTCTTTTCCCTTTCTTTGAATAATTTTTGAAATTGTGGTGACAATTAATTTCATATGAGTCTTGGTGTGGTGCTGTGGGCTAATGCACTGGACTGCAGCTGGCTTAAACCACAAGGTCATCAGTTCCAGCTCACCAGCTACTCCTTGGAAAGCTTATACAGGGTCATTATTTGTTGGAATTTACTTGACAGCACTTAGCAACAACAACAATGTTGGGAATGTGGTGGTTCTGTATGATAGCACTGGACTGCAAACCACAAGGTTGTTAGTTTGAACCCACTAGCTGCTCCTTGGAGAAAGATGAGGCTTTCTGCTCCGGCAAAGATATGCAGCCTTGGAAGCCCTGTACAGTGTCTCTATAAGTAAGAATCTACTGGACAATATTTAACAACAACATAAATATATTTGCAGTCCTGGAGTGACCCTGTAGGATGAACACTATAAACTTCTAACTGCAAGATTGGTGCTTCAAAACCACTAGCTGCTCCTCAGAAACACTATACAAGGTTGCTGGGAGTCAAAATGACTCTGCGACACTTAAGCACAACAATATATATGTGTGTGTGTATGTATCTGTATATATATGTGTGTGTGTGTATGTATGTGAGTGTACAAAAAGTCAAGAATGTGCTTTAAGTACTCAGTCAAATTACTACCAGGGTTTATGGAAAGATTTATAGAATAGCTAGAGACTATTATTTGTTTATACATTCTTATTAAAATGAAAGACTAAAATGAAATTGTAATTGTTATTATACAAACTGGAGAGTAAGAGAGAAAGTTTTGCAAAATAATAAGAGGAATGAAAGCTAAAAATATTTCATTACTATATTTCCTGAGATTCTATTTTATAGTTTCAAGTTACTAACAGGTTTTAGATAAGGATTAAATTTGTTTAGATTAACCTTTGAGGAGAAAGCAATCTTAGATCACAAATATTCAGTAGTGAGAAGAATCATTTTCTAGTAGAATTAGTAAAATATTACAAAATCTGAACTCTGTTACTTTCCACTCATTCCTAGATTGTTATGTAAGTAATTGTTAAAGAACACTTAATGACATTGTGAGCAGACATATTTCTTAGTATTGTAGGTGTTGTCAAGTCTGTTCTAGCTCATTGCAACCCTGTGTAGAGTTTTCACCAGTACTCTTATGTCAGTTTGTCATACTGTGGTGGCTTGTGATTTGCTTTTACTCTGGAAGCTATGTCACGGGTTATTTTAAACACCAGCAGGGTTACCTACAGAGATAGGTTTCAGATGAGCTTACAGATAAAGACAATCTAGGAAGAAGGAGATTCAAACTACTTGGAATATTTAGTCATTGAAAGCCTTATGAATAGCAGAGAAACACTGTCAGATATAGTGCCAGAAAATGAGTCTCTCAAGTTGGAAGGCACTCAAAATGGAACTGGGAAAGAGCTGCATTCTCAAAATAAAATTGACCATGATGATGCTAATGGAGTAAAGCCTATGGGAGTAAAGCCCTGGGGACCTTCATTTGCTGATGGGGCACAACTCGAAATGAAGAGAAACAGCTGTAAACATCCATTAGTAATCAGAATATGGAATTTACACAGTATGAATCTAGGAATATTATAAATTGCCAAATATGAAATGAATGCATAAACATAGACAAGTTAATACCTCTATTATTCAAATTTACTCACCAACCACTAAATCCATTGAAGATGAAATTGAAGAATTCTACAAACTTCTTCAACCTGAAGTTGATCAAACACAGTATCAAGATGTATTGATCATACTTGTGATTGGAATACCCTGGATGAAAACAAAGAAGAATCAGTAGTTGGAATATGGCAATGGTGATGGAAATGATGCTGGAGATAGCATGATATAATTCTGCAAAACCAATGATTTATTCATTTCAAATACCTTGTTTTAGGCAGAATCAGAGAGAATGCTATGCATGTGGACCTCACCAGATGGATTACACAGAAATCAAATTGACTACATCTGTGGAAAGGGACAGTGGAAAAGCTCTGTATCATCAGCCAAAACCAGGCCATGGACAGATTGTGGATCAGACCATCAATCAATCGTTCATATTCAAATTCAGACTGAAGCTGAAGAAAATGAAAACAAGTGCACGAGAGCCAAAATATGACCTTGACTATAACTCACCTGAATTTAGAGACCATCTGAAGAACAGATTTGATACATTAGACACTAAAGAC